CAGGTGTCAGGCACTCGCCTGCGCATCCCCCAGGTGACAGCAGCTGACTCAGGGGAGTACGTGTGCCGGGTGACATCGGGTGGCATCACGCAGGAGACATCCCTCATTGTCACCATCGATGACGGAGACAACCCATCTCACTGTGAGTGCCACCTCCCTGGGGACAGTGTGCCACTGGTGTCAGGGACCACTGGGGCCATTCACCCTCAACCCTGCCCATGCAGCCACCGGCATCACGCCACCCATCCGCATCGAGTCCTCGGCGTCCTCTGTCACTGAGGGACAGACTCTGGACCTGGACTGCATGGTGGCCGGCCAGGGACAGGCCACCATCACCTGGTACAAGCGTGGTGGGGCCCTCCCAGCCAAGCACCAGGTAGGTGGGGACACCGGTGGGGTGGGGGATGCTGGTTGCTGCGCGTGGCTGGGTGATGCCACCACCTTCTGCTATGATGTCCCCAGATTTCGGGGTCCCGGCTGCGGCTGTCCCAGCTCTCGGTGGCCGATTCGGGAGAGTACGTGTGCCGGGCTGACACGGGCAGTGTCTTCCGTGAGGCCAGTGTCTCTGTCACTGTCACCTCCCATGACAGCTCCAGCTACCGTGAGTGCGGCCACAGGGTGAGGGAGCATGCTGAGGGGAGATGGGTGATGTGAGTGACCTCGTGGCCTCTCTGTGCCTTTGTCCCCACAGGTTTGCAGAGCCCCATCATCTCCATCGACCCTCACAGCATGGCGGTGGCACCAGGTGAAGATGCCACCTTCAAGTGCCGCGTTCACGATGGCGCCCGGCCTGTCAACATCACCTGGCGGATGGGGCCTGGCCAACACCTCCAAGGTATGGCGGTCCCCAGGGTGGCCCTGGCGTGGTTCCCAGGGTGGCCCTGGTGCTGATGGCTCCTCCTTGCCCAGACAATGTGAAGATCAGTGCCAACGGCTCAGTCATCTCCATCAGCGGTGCCCATGTGGGCAACCAGGGTGCCTACCACTGCGTGGCCTCCAACCGCTTTGGTGTTGCCAGCAGCGTCGTCAACCTCGTGGTGCAAGGTATGAGGTGGCCAGGGCGGCCCTGTCCCTGTCTCCATGTGGTCCAGGTGTCCTCAGGGAACTTTTGTCCCCATCCCCATGTCCTCCTTGTGCCCTCAGGGTGGTCTCCGTGTTACCATGCTGGTATCCTCCATGTCATCCATGGTGTCCCTATCCCCATCTCCTTTCCATGCTTCAGGTGCTCCTGGAGTGGTGATGCCCCTGTCTGGGGCTGGTGTCCTTCTAGGGGCCCTGGGAGTTGTGATGTCCCCATCCCCATGCAGATGTCCTCCATGGGCTTTGGAAGCTCCTGAGATGTTGTGTCCCCATCCCCACACTCATGCTCATTTCCTCCCATGCTCCCAATGCTCCCAGGGTGATGGGTGCCCCTGTGGCCAGGCACCTTCCAGCTGCCCTTGATGGTGGTGTCCCAATATCCACTCCAATGCTCTCCTTCTTCTCCAGGTGCCCCCACGGTGTCAGTGATGCCACCAGGCCCCGTGACAGTGAAGGAGGGCAAATCCCTGAGCCTGGAGTGCCTGGGCCGGGGAGAGCCACGACCACTGGTGCGCTGGAGCCGTCTGGGCTCCCGGCAGAANGAGGGCTCCACAGTGCGGCTCTACTGCCGGGTCTCAGGGACCCCCACTGCCACCATCACCTGGGAGAAGCAGGGGGGCACTCTGCCACCACAGGTGAGCGGGGTGCTGCCACCCATGGGTGCTCCAAGGGGTGTGGGTGCACCACAGGTGCCACTGACTCCCATCCTTGTGCCACAGTCCCGCGCTGAGCACGGTGACATCGCCACACTCGTCATCCCTGCTGTGACACCGGCTGATGGTGGCATCTACCTCTGCGTGGGCACCAGCGCTGCTGGCACGGCCCATGCTGCTATTGAAGTGGCTGTGGTGCCAGGTGAGGAGGGTAGGGGACGCTCAATGGTGTTTGGGGATGGTTTTTGGGGGCTACAACCCACCCTTGTCGCCACTTTTGCTCCCTACAGGGACGGCACCACCTGTGCGCATCGAGTCCTCGTCCCCATCCGTCGCCGAGGGACAGACCCTGGACCTGGACTGTGTGGTGGCAGGACCCAGCTCTGCCACCGTGTCGTGGTACAAGCGTGGTGGCTCCCTGCCCGCTGGCCACCAGGTAGGGCACAGCAGGGTGGGCAGCACCCCAAACACTGCCCTGTCCCTGCTGTGTGACACCAAAGCGGGATGTCCCCAACTGCAGGTTTCAGGGTCCCGGCTCCGTGTCCCCCACGTCACTGCAGCTGATTCAGGGGAGTACGTGTGCCGGGCAAGCTTGGGGACCGCTGTCCGGGAGGCATCTGTCATTGTCACCGTCGTGGCCGCATCAGGCGCATCCTATGGTGAGACTGGGCTCAGCAGCACTGCAGGGAGCAGCTGGTTCCCAACAGATGGTCACAGCTCTGTCCTCCCCTGCAGGACCACCTGCTTCAGGTGTCCCTGTCCGGATCGAGGCATCCTCATCCACCGTGGCTGAGGGACAGACCCTGGATCTCAACTGCATCGTGGCCGGGCAGGGACAGGCCACTGTCACCTGGTACAAGCGCGGGGGGTCCCTCCCAGCCAAGCACCAGGTAGGGGACACAGAAGGTGATGATGC